AAATTCGACGTAAAGTTGCATAGTAGGGTTATTTGATGTCCTGATCACGAATACCGCATTAGTTCTCAACTTTCAGCCAAATCTGCCCCGTAGAAAAAAGTCGATCCAGATCCGGCCTGTTTCCGGAAAATTGGGGTAGTAATAGTTGAATAGTGCCGTACTTTTGTATTCGCTGTGCTCATTGTGAGAGCTTGTTTTGTTTCCACCATTTCGTGGAGGAATACCACATGTGCTCTCAAACCATAAGATCTTCATTTCTTACTGCAAGCTTTAATAAACGGATATCCTCATAATAAACTTCTTGAAAGGAAACAGAAAAGGCGAGTTGCTTGCTCCTGATGTCAAATAATTAAAGAACTAGGTAAATTGGCCAAACAGAAGTGTTTTAGGGACTCATATGAAGTGTTTTGAATAAAAGCAAAAATTTCCGAGAGTCAAGGATTCCAACATGCGACCTTGTGTCTCTGAAGCAGTGCGCCTATCCACTACGCCATCGGCCGCCTGCGTCACTTAGTTATCGTTCTCAACGTGTGCGAGCAGAGCGTGTGCGAGCAGAGATTAAATGGCCCGCAACTCCCTTCAGAAAAACGTCGTTCCACAAATTCTGAGTGCAGATTTGAATTCAGCGGCTCAAGGCACGTCCATATATGTACACCTCATTGCAAATGGCCGGATTTACCTGTTGGGGTTCCCTTGTTAGATGACGTAGCGAAACTCAAAAGTAGTCTCTCTGCTCGAAAACTAATTGGAGAAAGAGACCAACAAGCATGATTGTTATAGTGGCGCACGTAAGCAAGTAGTGGGGCAGACAGTGATGATGGTTACGGCAAGTGTGACCGAAATAAACAATGACACACAAAAGCTGCAAATTGGATGGTTACTCCACTCTATAAGTTTGCAACAACATCATGGAAAGAACAAAGTTACGTGAGAAAAGAAAAAATCATTTCGCATTGCTCCATAAGGTCAGGCGCGCAGTAGCTTGCGCCAGCCAAACTGGTAATGATTCAAGCGAAGCGGCGAACCTATCAACTTCTGGAGAGCTTAATAACCAAGGATCCATTCATACTTCTGAAGGGGTGCAAAACTCATGTTCGCCTATTGTGAAGGACTGCATTATAATTTTCTCCCCGAATTCTTCAAGACAACATCAGAAAACTGAAAGTGTTCTAAATGGCTTCACGAAAAAATTTAGTGTTCGTGCTTTTGGCTTTAATTGCAATCTTGTCCCTAGAGTGATCGTCGAAAACAGAATGTTGGGACTTAAGTCCCCTCTGTAGGATGGTCGATCTCATCACTGCTTTCGAAATATTCACAGGAAAGCTGAACCAAAATTCAGGAAACTGGAAAGTGACGGCTAGCAGCTGAACTTCAAGTATCCTTTCGATATCATGTATTTTTTGGTTTTTTTTGAGGGGGGTCATAGCGAAGTCAGTAGAAATTTGTCACAACGCGATGGCGCACCCTAGCGATGCAGCTCCTGCCGTTAGTAACCAGGCTATAGCATCGGAGCGTGCCCATGAAACGGTCTAGAAGCAGTCCCGGATATTTTGAGGTTTAGACTAGTTGTATGAGATATTAGGGAAGGTTAACAGCTCGCTCTGGCCATTCAGTATAAAATGTATATCGGCGTGGCGTCTCGGGAAGCTGAACTCAAATTTGCGGAAAAAATTTGCGGGGAACGACTGAATAGGAGAGGCTACGATGGGGAGGGGTTCCAGTATGGCAGTATTTCCAGCATTCCAGCAGCAGGCTGAAGGAGAATTGAACGACCTTAAGATGGTGAATGAGTGAGTAAAATTGCAACCATTTAAGAACCATAGGGTTTTCCTTTACCAAATAGTTAAAAAAAATACAGCTTCTCTCATTGAGCACAACGAAAACTCTCCACAACAGGTGTATTCACAGTGTCCCATCAGGAAGGGAACCGGTATTGAGCAGTGTTTCAAGATCACCACGATGTGCAGAGGTGATGAACAGAACGTGTTCACGTAAGCTTGTCAAATTCGTCTAATATGATAAGTCATCTGCACATCTGCATGTATAGATGCTAATCCTTATGCACTCGAGACTCTTCACCTTCTCCCTCTAGTTTACTTTCAAATTTTTTTTCCCCTCCAATCGATTGAGCAGCTTCTGTTCCTACTCCTGGTACGCAGCGGGATACTTTGATGCAATACTTGGTAAATTGAAAAACTGCTCAATTCTGCTCCCCTTCTTTATGCGACAAAGCGACTACACCGGTAGTGGTGAGTTTTCCTTCATTCGTTACGCTCACTGTGAGAAGCTGTTTTGTTTCAACCAGTTCGTGGAGGAGCATCAGTTTAACAGCTATAACTTCATGTACCATCTAGAGACCGTTTAATTTTGCAATAAATTTCTTGGATAAAAGCACAACTGCAGAAATGCTGACCTTTAACACTTTCTGAGATGCGGATGAGAACAACCTTGACAAAGTAACAGTAATGATGGCAGGACACAAACACTAGCCTCGCATCTGTGAAACAACATTTTCTATCCACTACACTACGGGCCACACTTCTGATTTTCAAACATTACTTGAACGAGCACAGAGGGAGACTGGCGGGTACCATGCTAGAAGTCTCCCGTAGTCTCTCTTCTTGGAGAGTCGTTTCGCAAATTCTTTCTGCAGATTTGAGCCCTATGACGCATGTGCCTCTCATCCTGAACCAAAATTTCGCAAATTCTTTCTGCAGATTTGAGCCCTATGACGCATGTGCCTCTCATCCTGAACCAAAATTTCGCAAATTCTTTCTGCAGATTTGAGCCCTATGACGCATGTGCCTCTCATCCTGAACCAAAAGTGGCCATAGCAACCTTTGACCTTCTCTGTTGAGATCAGAATCATATAACGTTAGGAGCATCACGAAAATGAATGCAAATGGTAGTTGTAGAAGGCAAAACGTTCTATAATGCTCAAAGCCTGCATCGGGCGTGCACGTCGGTGTATGAGAGTGTACCGTGCCTTGGCCTCCAAAAGGTACCTGGAACAAGATCACCAAACATTGACAGGTAGCAATGCAGGTCTTCCAAAAAAAATTACCAAAAGAGAGCTGAAAGAACAGTGAAGCGAGGTCTTCAACTTCTCTGTCCGTGTAACCTCGACATTGCTGTTCTAACTGCCTGAGCCAAGGAGGTTTGTAGGTGGGATTTTATTAACGGGTCTTAATGTTTCAGAGGTCTAAACGTAGCTCAAAATTTTTGATTTGCCCTCCACACCGTCGAACGCCTCGTCGCCCTAGCGTTTCCGACGGCACTTCGAGAAACAACCAAAACCCTTCGCTAGATGTTTAGTTAAGTAAGTGAGACACACCATGCCGTCCTCGTGTAGTAGCTTTTAGGTGTTGCACGTCTCACCGTTTACATTAGTAGCTCGCAATGTGGTGAAAATGGTAAGAAATCATTTATTATGGCTGAACTCATTTTGGTTGTTCATTCTAGGATTCCTTGCCGGAAATCCAGAATGCCTCTAGCGCTTTACTAGCGGAAATCTCCGTCTAGTAGGCTAGGATCCTCACTTCGCATCAAATCAGCGTTTTGTGTTACTATTTTCATTCATTGCTGATTAAAAACTCATTCTCCCTTGCGTCTCAGTAGTACATCCTAAAGAGAACTCTTTGCGCTATCTGATGGTATAAATGCCGTTTCACCATTGCTTGATTGAACCCCCTTTTTTTTCAAGAGTTTTTCAAGCATGTCACAAGAGCAACATCGGGGACGATATTGTCACGGGGTTTTTTGAAGTCGTGCTGAATTTAAGAATGCACAATTTATGGCGGTTCGCCTTGCCGATGACCTCAACGGAGATGTGAGAGTTTGAGTGCCTTCGTATGCAAGGGTTACTTATGGCCCCGGTCACGATTCGAATATTTATCTTCAGCGCCGAGGCCATTTGGAGCTACCATAGCTCTGTTGAATAGTTAATTTTTCTCGCTTCACGGACGTGGTAAAGGGGGGGGGTCGTACTTGCCGTCATTGTTGAGAGGGGGGGTCGTGTTCACGTTTTGGCGTTGTATAGGAGTGGTGGTTGACTTTTTGTGATTTTCCTTTTTCATGCGTACTATATGCCCCCCACCCCCCCCCCCACCCGCTCGATGCTTGATTCCGCCCATGAGAAGGAAACAGAGGGCCGGAGCGGGGCGGGGGCGGAAGGGTCGCTACTACCCCCCCCCCCCCCCCAAAAAAAAAAAACAAGGGGGGGACAGACTTGACCCAAATCCCCAACCAATGATGTGCCCTGTTGTGGCCTGGACGAGAGCCGACTGGGCCGTGCGGATAGCAAGCGAGCTGCTTACCACTGTACCATCTCTGACACTCCGCCGGGACCCAAAAGGCCGTATAAGGTGAGGCTCCGTTTATACTTTGGGGCGGCGGTCAACAGCCTTCCGAGCGTCCATCAGCGCCAGAGACCAAGAAAGTATAGATATCTATCTAGCATTCACCAACGCCCATCAGCGTCCACCAGCGACCATCAGCGTCTCGAGGGGCTGAGAAAATGTGGATAGATCTAGCGTCTAGCAGCTTCACCAGCGACCACCAGCGTCTACGAGGAACAGTATTGTGCAGTAGGACGGTGCGGTTGTACACGCCGCACCGAATTAACGACGCCTGATCCAGCAATTTTCTCCTTACTTCTGATACCCCATACTCCACCAGCAGTCTGATACCCTCCTACTTCCCCATACTCTCTACTCCTGGTCGCTGACGGACGCTGATGGACGTTGTAGACGCTAGACCCATGGCAGTACTTTCCTGGTCGCTGACGCTGACGGACGCTCGAAACGCTGATGCTCGCTGTGGACACTGCCGCAGAGCATCAACACAATCTGAGGATCTTATACAATCGTCTGTAGCTGAAGAAAGTAAGCGACCGAGAATTTCAGATTTCCCTGATAACATTTTCGTCATACGAGGGAATCACGAAGAAGAAGGCTTGAATAAGCTGTACTCGTTCGCCACGGAAGTTCACGCTAAGTTTGATGGTAGGCTACCTTTCAAAGCTAGCTTAGTCCATCAACGCGATATATTTGTTTTCAGCTAAGTCAATTGATGCACCACAGCGAGGGATCCTATGTACGATCATTTCAAAAATTCTTCATGAACCTTCCGCTTGCATGTTTAGTTGGACGTGATATTCTTGCAGTGCATGGAGGCATTAGTCCAAAACTACGGTCACTGCAGGTATGTTACTCCGAAGGACCGCAATTACCTATGAAAATGTGAGATATTGCGTGGGAAAGGTTACAAGATTATAAGTTCAGGGGTCAGGCGGCGCACCGTACCCCCGAAATTTGCGCGTCCAGTGAAAAACATTGATGTCGCTTGCACGACCACACTACATTACACGCCAGACTCATTACTTCTGTGCAAAACTTGTGTTTAAGGACAATGTTTTTAGAAGTTAATGAGTTTAAGCATGTTATTATACTGTCACTATAGTTATTATTATTATTAACTATTGCTGCACCGATTTTTCGAGAAATAAACCAGTTTTTGACCGGCTATTTCTATGGGGGCAGATTTGGCTGAAAACTCGGTTCTAGGGAAGTTTAACCTTCTGAATACGGGAATCACATTAATTTGCGTTGAGTTGCCAAGCGCCCGCGCCAGGGTGCTGGCGTCAGGATACCTAGAATCACCAAACCCGCCGAAAACTTGTGCCCTTGGGTAGTTTGGCCTCCTAACAGGAGTATCACATCCGCCTTCGACCGCAGAGAACTGCCTGGCGCCCTAGCAATGATGCCCAGGATCGCCGAATCCGCCGAAAGTTGTGCGCCGGGGTTTTTCGAGCTCCTAAACACGAATATCACATCCGCTCAACCTAGAGCTGCCTCGTGCCTGCGCAAAAATACCAAGAACACCGAATCAGCTGAAAACTTGTATACGGGATTTAGGCATCCTGGTTACGGATGTGACCCCATTCTTGACGTTTGTGCGAATGGAGAACACTACGTTTGTCTTCTCCTGGGGCTGCCTCCCCCAAAGGGGATTGCTTCCTCTCCCATGCACAGCCTTATCAGAGCGATAAATGGCACTGGCGTTAAAAGAGCGCTAAATGGTGCCGATTGCGCAAATGAATGCCACGCTTCTGTCATCATCAAAAGTCATCAAACCTTATGGGCCAAGCTTCATTAAGAAATTGTTTGACTAACTATGAAATGCATCACATATGGCGCTATTCACCCTTTACTGCCCTGCCATCTTCCGAAAACAGGCCAGTTTGTGACCGATTTTTTCTGCGTTGGCAGAATTGGCTGAAAATTTGTCTCCTGGGGTAGTTTGACCTCCTGAACATGAATATTACATGCGCTAAACACGAAACTTCCTGGCGCCTGTGCCGCAATCGCCGACGCCAAAACACCTTGAATCACCAATCGCTAAAAACTCGTTCTCAGGGGTACTCTGATCTCTTGAACACGAATATCATATACGCTCACCCTGAAACCTCCTGGCTCCCACTCTACAGGCGCTGGCGCCAAAATACCAAATATCACCGGCGCCTGTGGCGCGGGTTAGGTTTCGGGTATGCAATGCTCCATATTCGCATTCAGGAGATAAATACCCTAGCGAACGAGCTTCCCAGCCCAATGCTGTCAACGCCAGAAGTTTCGTGGATGGTTAGGCAGAAGTAAAGCGTCCCGGGCATAATTAAAGCCCGCATATACTTATTAGGCTTTATTTTCAATTTCATTATCATACACCTTTTACTTCTTTTAACATCGAATTTGCAGAGCAAGTGCCATTTTTTTCTCTCATAACATCCTGCTTCGTAGTGCGGACCGTCGCGAAAGTCTTGTCGGAGTAGTGTTCGGATGCGCCCGACGTCGGGGAGTTCCATTCGATTCTTCAAACAAGTTTGAGTATACAAAATCTTTTCCCGACATTGTATTCACGTTTTCGTTGTCGAGCGGATGTGACACTCGTGTTTAGGAAGCCAGTCTATCCCAGAGCACAAGTTTTTGGCGGGTTTGATGATCGTGGGTATCCAGGCAATTCTAGGTTGAGCGATGTGAAATTCGTGTTTAGGAGGTCCAACAACCCCGAGGCTTTCAGCGGATTCCGCATCCTGGGCATCCATTGCTAGGGGTCAGGCGAGTCCAGGTCGAGCGGATGTATACTCCTGCTTAGAGCCAACTACCCAAGGGCACAAGCTTTCGGCGGGTTTGGTGATTCTAGGTATCCTGACGCCAGCACCCTGGCGCGGGCGCTTGGCAACTCAACGCAAATTAATGTGATTCCCGTATTCAGAAGGTTAAACTTCCCTAGAACCGAGTTTTCAGCCAAATCTGCCCCCATAGAAATAGCCGGTCAAAAACTGGTTTATTTCTCGAAAAATCGGTGCAGCAATAGTTAATAATAATAATAACTATAGTGACAGTATAATAACATGCTGAAACTCACTAACTTCTAAAAACATTGTCCTTAAACAACAAGTTTTGCACAGAAGTAATGAGTCTGGCGTGTAATGTAGTGTGATCGTGCACCCGACATCAATGTTTTTCACTGGACGCGCAAATTTCGGGGGTACGGTGCGCCGCCTGACAACCTTGAACTTAATACCTCCCGATACTCTCTGGTATAAATACCATTTTGAACTATGTTCAAAACACCACAGGGTTGGTAGGTAAGTTTATGGCGCTGATTCCGTATGCGAGCGGTAATACATAGTTGATACATATGAATAGATTATGTACATCTTACATGTTTGACATCAATAGGAAGTAGTCATTGTCAGCATGACTATTATGACAATTGAACCTATTTTCACGAGTGAATTAATGCCTACATAGTGAGAACAGTTGCAAGAATCCTACAATGTGTAATATTATGTACATATTACCACGTATAATATTATGAACATTGGTACATGATGGTGTCAATAATGAGATCAACATTAGGAAGTGTGCACCAATGTGTAAATGCTTTCACATAACGATATGGAGCAATGTACGAATAGCATATATATAGGTGGTTTATGAAGTTGGCAATGAGAGGATGGGCAGAAAGGTGATGCTAGATGAGCAGCCTGCGTAAATGACAAATATGATGTTAACAACATACGAGGTGTCCTAGTTATAGTGTTAGGGCATAATGAACAGCGGTATGAAGGAACTAGGAACATACATAGTGATCATACTAGTTAAATAGAGGGAGGAAGAGAAGATGGGAGAGGTTTGGGTGCTATGTAATTCTGGAACCCTCCCAGCGTCCTCCAGCGCCCAGCTTGCATAACATCAATTTGATGAGCTCCCATACTGAGCGCTTGTGTGGCAGCCCCCCCCCCTCTGAAAGAGTGAGATGTTATATTAGCATGTCCAAGATTGGCTTTACTAATGAGGAGCATGAGCCTGTCCCGCAAGGTTGAGATGGCCAAAGGCAACCCCGTGGAGCCGGACTGAAAGAGAAAAGACGCCCCACCCAAGGTAGCAGTGTATTTATTCCAGAGCGCTTCCTCCATTGCATTAAAGCGAAAAGCTACCACTGCCCCCTTAGAGCACTGGTCCGTCTTGGATCTGCTTATATGCACAACCCATTCCCCGTTGCCATTGGGCTTAACCTGGGATCTGCGCAAATTTTGGGCCTCGCTGATCCTGAGTAGCCCTTTGAACTGAATGAGAGCTAAAGCAGCGGCTTGAGTAACTTTGGGGTCCTTGGTAGAGATACCTACGCTT